CTCTCACCTTCTCCTGTAGGGCCGTCATTTTCCATCTCAGAGTCAGATGAATCTGACTGGTCAGCATCCAGAGGACTGTCGTCTGCTGCATCCCCATTGGTCGGTACGTCCTGGGGTTCTGGAAGGGAAGCCTGCTGCTCCGATAACAGTGATGACCGACCCACCTGCATTGAGTAGCACATTCAAAAATTGAAAACCTTACACCAATTTTTTTTAACCCAAATGGCAGAAAAAAAAGAAAAAGAAAAAAGTTTTAATTCACTGAAACAAGGTTTCACACAACTAACGTCCTGCACAACGATAACACTGCATGCTGACAGATTACAAGTTGGCACTGACCAGTTCCTCTCAATATAGCCTTAACTAGTTGCATCAAGCTTCCTTGTAAAAAGACACCTTCTGCATAAATGAGCCATGCCAGCAGCTTTGATAAAGTGACAGACATCATTTGTTGACTGTAGAGCATCACCAGTGTTACAATGTAAAGACAGTGATGCAATGTCATATTTCAATTGTCATATTTACATCTGTTTATAATATTAAAATGAGACATTTACTTAAGTTTTAAATGCCTGGAAAAGTTTTATTTCACCTTCCTCTCCTCACCTGCTCCAGAAATATTTTAATTTTGTTTATACACACATAATTAAATAATTGATTAAAGCTGATTTTAAGTGCTTTTGTAGTGCTTCCCATTAATCAGCAGTGAACTTTCTGCACAGGGCACGTCCACATACCGGGAACGGCTCCAGGCCCTCTTTGATGACAAAGCCCTCCACGAGGTGTGTGAGGACGTGGGTTGACCTCTTGGGGCTTCCTGGGAGACTTGCAGGGGCAGAAGGAGGCTGGCTGGGGACTTTTGCTGAAGCAGGGAGGAGGGGAGGAGGTAAAGGAGAAGGTGGTGGAGGAGGAGGGTTGTTGGTGCCACTACTGCCGCTATTGTCAGTGGTCGTGAGCTGGGAGGACTCCTCCACTGGAGGACTCCTCCAGTGGCTGGGGGTGATGAAGGATGAACCCGTCACTGCTACACAATAAAAAGCATAAAGAGTGAGGGGTGAGGGGGTCTCATGGAGGCAGGTTATCCTGTTAACTGAATAATTCTGTACCTGAACCATTTTGATTGGGTGGTGTAGCAGTCCCGTCTTGTTCTGAACTTGGAGGATCTTTCCTTTCCTCTGAGCTCAGACTGTTCACGTTGCACTTTTGCCCCAACTGAAAATCAAAACAAAACAAAACCTCATTCAAACCAACTCATAATCTACTCAGGAGCTCTTCAAAGCAGGACGTGCTGACTCACGGGTGCAGTTTCGTTGTGTTTGACTGGATGCACTTTCAGATCAACAGCCACCGTTTGAGGAGGTGGCAGGTTCTGGTAGGGCATCTGGACCAGAGCCTCCGCCACAGGCAGTTCCCGCTCCGTTAGCAGTACCTGTCCTGAATGGACAGCCAAAGCCCGGACTGAGTGCAGGGACACCCTGTGAAGGGAGGCCGGGGGGTTCTGGGGCAGCCTGGGGAGAATGAGAGGAGGAGGAGGAGGTGGAGGCTGCTGGCTCTGTGGGAATGAGGTCCGACGCTGTGGCGCAGCCACCAGAGGAGGTGGCTGAGGCTGAACGGCAGCAGCTGGGACTGAAGTCTGAGGTGATGATGCAAGCATGCTGGTGACTAATGGGGAGGAAGAAGAAGACAGGGCTGGGGGCTCGTTTCGTAGTTGTGAGTGGGTGCTGGAGGCGGTTAGTCTTTTAACCGACAGAGGAAGAGGATTGGAGTGGGTATCTCGGGGTGCTACTCTGAGGGCAATTGGTTGCAACTGTCTGCTGCTGGGAGCCCCTCCTGTGGCCTGCTGGACGATGAGCTGGTGGTGCGCCACCTGCTGGCCTACTGGACAGGACAGCTGCTGCTTGACTAGAGTGTGGGTTTGCACTGGAGGGTAGGCTGCAGAGGGAGCACGAGGAACATAATAACCAGCAGGTGAGCTGTCATTAAAAACTTAACCTGACAAAAAAAGCAAACATCTGCATTACATGAACATCAGTGTGCTTGCTGCATGGCTTGTATCAAACCAAAACCAAGTGTCCACCCTGAGTTTGTCTCTGGCCTCTTACACTTGCAGTTATCTCAAACCGTGGAAGACACAAACTCACCTGGGGTTATAATCTGGGGTCCTGACACCAACGAGGTGGCATCAGATGGCGCTGTTTCTGTTGAGCCATCAGTCAGTTGGGTGCTCTTCAGCCCACAGACTGGATTCTTGGACAAAGAGGTGGCTGCAGGCAGGGCCTGGGACTCGGTGGAAGGTTTTAAGATGACGCTGTGGGCTGTAGCCAGAGCTCCCGGCAAATGGGTACGCAGAGCCAGATTCTGCAGCGAGTATTAGAGGTTAACAGTTAGTCTTCGCAGTTATTAAAAGTTTCTGGTCATGGAGTAAAGAGCCAGTGCTGTACCTTGTCCTAACACACTGACATCACGTAAATAAATACAGAAATAGTGGACCTATTCTGCTGTTCCTTATATTATGATCTAAAGCAGCGGTCCCCAACCCCCGAGCCTCGGACCGGTACCGGTCCGTGAGTCGTTTGGTACCGCGCCGCGAGAGTTGAGGCTCGGGTGTGAAATGTATGGTTTTCAGGGTTTTTATCGGTTTTCGGCTTTTTTTTGTTATCATTTTTATCGTTAATTCGGTTTTTTTGGGTCTTTTCTCGTGTGTTATTAATTAATCTTCATTTACCGGTACTAGTTTTATTTTGTTGTATTTATCCGCGAAACCTTAAAGGCTGGTCCGTGAAAATATTGTCGGGCATAAACCGGTCCGTGGCGCAAAAAAAGTTGGGGACCGCTGCTCTAAATAATGTATGCAATGTTGAAACAAAACAAAAAACACAACCCGCTTTGCTCTTTATGATGTCAAAGAGGGGAGGGATATTCTTAATGATGAGATCAAGAGGGGCAGCAAATCAGAAGAAAGTAACTTTAAAGCTGTGGGCGGTGAGCAAAGCTACTGCAAGAGAGTCCAAGGACAATAACATGGAGCCTGAAATGAGCATAATAGGTCCACTGTATGTTCTGTAACAGCCTGAGGCACATAATTGTGCAGCACTGTGGCAGGATTGTACCTGAGAGGAGGTAGGTAATGAGGAGCAGGAGGTCACAGTGGGGAGGTCTGACTGAATTGCAGCTACTGTGGCTGCAGGAGTTAGAATCAGCTGGCAAGGATAGAAGCAACAGGGAAGCTCAGACGCCATGTTGGTTAAAAATCAGCCATAAAAAGTTGCTCATGCACTCAGAATGGCAACACAGTAAAGCAGCATGAATGCAGCTCGAGATCAAAGATGAAAAGGTTTCTACCATCTGAGTTCGAAGGTACATCTGAGCTTGGTTACAGCTGGCAGGTCTGTTTCCTAGAAGCATGGCCTGCTGAGATATTGTGGCTGCGCTGGCAGTGGATGTCTGAGTTCGACCAATCAGCCTTGCGGTCACTGGAGATGCTGGTAAAGTTATCTGGATGAGGGGCGGCATGATGAGAGCTGTGACAAAAACTAAATATGCCCAGGTGTGTATTTGTGCTCAGAGTGAGAACACACTTAAGCACTTACCGAGTTTTGGGAAACACCCGCAGCCTGAACCAAACTGCCTGTAGAAGAAGAAGGTGACCTCTGACAGACTGAAGCCTGAAAAGCAGTGAGAACACGTTTTACTTTCTATTCTTGATCCTCACACAGACACACAGCACATAGACAAACACCACCCGACCTGCTGGATGGCGGCCAGACTCTGCAGATGTGCGGGATGCTGGTGCTGCTGCAGGGCTGCTGTCTGCAGCATGAAGTGCTGCTGCTGGGCTGCGTACATCTGATGCAAGTACTGGGCCGCCATGCTCTGAGGTCTGTTCATGGCATGTTGGATCACCTGTTGGATCACACGATGTACATTTTCTTCAGACTGGCTAAAAGCCTTACAAGGCTATTTATCTACTTTAACAACAAAATCTAATCACCTGTTCAAATACACTATATTGCCAAATGTATTCACCCGTCTGCCTTCACACACATATGAACTTTAGTGACTCCCATTCTAAATCTATAGGGTTTATTATGATGGGGAATTTTTGGTGATTTTTCCTGAAATGTAGATGTGAGGTCAGACACTAATGCTGGACAGTCAGATTGCCAGAAGGAGAAGGCTTCTCCACTGCTTCAGAGTCCAGTGGTGGCGTGCTTTACACCACCACATAAGACGCTTTGCATTGTGCTTGGTGATGTAAGACTTGAATGCAGCTGCCATGGAAACCCATTCAATGAAACTCTCTACACACTGCTACTGAGCTGCTCTGAAGGCCGCATGAAGTTTGTGGCCTTCAGATTTTACTGAAGGTCACAAACTTTGTACTATAACCACTAACCACTAACGGTTGAGTGAGGAATATTTAGTGACGAGGAAATTTCATGAGCGGACTGGGGCTACCTGATCTTGCACAACTGTTTGTAGAAGTAGTCTGGATGCCAGGTGTTGGATTTTATACACCTGTGGCCATGAAAGTGATTAGAACAGGTGAATTCAATGATTTGAATGGGTGAGTGAATATTTTTGACAATATAGTGTATATACTATGATGCATAATTACTACTATTGTTTATTCTTTGGACTGTCTCGTAAAAGTAATACCTGATAGCTTGACAAACGACAGTCAATAGACAATTAATATTCAGTATATCAATATGATAAATGCATACTGAGGTCAGTGGTACTGTTCATTACTTGGATCACCTTTAAATCAAGTCCTCTGTGTGCACTTTACAGAAATAGCTTGGACTTTTTGCCTGTCAAGCACACCGTGCGTAGGGACTGTAAGCAGCTTCCTGTCTATTACCCCGACTCTTTACCTGTGAAGTGAAACTAAGACTAAACGAGCCACACACATATCGGTCGCAGGTGCAGTTTATTACCTGGACTGCTTGTCTGTCTGGTGGGATGATGCTGAGGGAGGTAGAGGGCGGCTGGGCGCTGGAACTGGGTGTTGCCATGGTGACGACAGATGATGACGATGCAGTGGTTACTGTCTTACTGGTGTCTGCCTGTCTGTCTCCTGGGCTCCGTCTGTCCATGTCCCAGATTACACACAGAATCAATATCAGGAAATCTGTGGAGATAAAAACAAAAAAAGAACATGCATTAACATGTGCAACTTTCTCTGATTCATGTGTAAATGCTTTCAGTTAAGATGCTTTCACTCCAGGCAAAAAAAACCCTAACAGACAGGTGCTGGTGTAGAAAAATCATTTTCTATGTGAAAACATTCCCACAATTTTCAGGTTTCTTCCTGTTAAAAGGGACTGTTTCCTTCCCACTGTTGCAAAGTGCTTGCTTTGACAGGTTGCTTGTTTTTTTTTGTATTTATTTATTGTTTTTTTGTTTTGTTTTAAATACTGTTGTGTTTTTACCTTATAGCACCAGCGCTTTGAGGTGACTGTTCAGGGTGCGGGACTAGAAAATAAGCCTGAACTGAATATATTTTAACGTGTCAAAACTGAACCCTTCCCTCTTGTCTTTATTTTTTTATGACTTGCAGTGGAGTGACAGGTTTTAAATGACTCCACTTTCTTTTAAGAAAGCCAAATATAATTTTAAACCATTTATGGCAGTTTTACTTCAAGAAACATTTTAATTAAATAAAAAAAAAAAAACCTCACACAAATAATAGACACCCTACCTCACAGGGAGCTTTGATCTTCTTGAATTAAAAATGAAATAGAATAAAATAAAACCAGGTGAACAAAACTAAACTTGGACTTTTGAAATAGAAACATAGAACCCTGACACTTATTAAATTAAGTGAATTTACAATAACAGAACAATAATAACAGTAATATTTAACATTATCACCAAGAAATACTTTTAAGTTTTTAAAATCTTGTGTGAGGTGGGGTGGCACGCACACCTCTGTAATAATTTAAGATAATTTTAACAACAACAACAACAACAATAATATTAATAATAATACAGTAGCGTGGGTTGTATAAATCACGCCTGTAGCCGCAGAATATTGATTCTTTTTTTTCTGATTGATCTTCGCTGTAGATTAGTAAACGCGTGCAGGATTTCCTCGACAAAAACCCTGAACCATCGGATAATCCTGATATTTAATGTCCAGTCTGTGAACCTTCACAGACTACATCCAGCACATCTGGATGACACCCCCCGCCGCTCTGCCCCTCACCGCTCACACTGCGCATTATGCATGCACAACCATCCACCTCTTGTCGGCGATACTTGCCTGGTTTTGGAAGACATGGGCCATCAGGAGCTGACCATACCCCGACACACTGTCCCAGTCATGAAGCCCTCTGATGCGTCAGCGCTGCTTAAAATGGTGATTTAAAAAAAAATCATGCGGTGTGCTGCGAAGCAGGCAGCATATGATGATAAATAAAAAAAAGCTTCGGCACAGCACCGCTCGCAGTGCGGGAGGACCCTCCACAGCCACAGAAGAGAGAAGAGGCGATGTCTGACGATCAAACGCTTTTTGTTTTAGAATGAATGTATTTAAATTGTAGGCTCGTGATACGATGTGTTGTCCCCCTGTTTATCACTAATATCGCTGTCATGTCACATGACCACGTGGTCTCGTGAATTCATTGTTCTGTCACTCAATAATATATGATGTTCAGATGAGTATGTGCTGCAAATTCGTGTCCCGTGAGTACAACAAAGTCAGTTTTCTTCTTTTTAAGTACAGTTGGTTCACTTTTTACTTTTTTTAATGAAGACAAGCGGGGACCATGACCGCTGGATGTTGTATTTTTCTTTTTAAGCTTGCATTTAAGTCCTAGTTTATTGTTTGATTTCTCGTGTTATTTGTCACTCCTCCCTTCAGTCCTCCATATCTGTTGTTTCATCATTTGAGTCTTGTATTTTAAAATTGCTTGAAAGCTATATATTCGTAGTAGGTTCTTGCTTTATTAGTTGACGAACATGAACATTTCTCTGGACTGTACAAGTCTAACAACCTTGAAAGACTGACATGTTATAATAACATGTCAGTCTTTAAGAGCACAGGCTGAAGATACAATTATCTTAGTTCAGTTTTTCAGACACGGTGAAGTGAAACGTTTGAAGTTTGAGGGGTAAACATAAAACAACAACAAAACAAACTATGACTAAATCTCCTGACAGAGGACATGGCCAATTTCAAATCCCCATCAAAGAGGAGCAAAAATGGCAGCTCTCGCTTGTTCCTGGTCCATTTTTCGATCCTGCAAAAGTCATTGAGCTTTTGAAAGCTTGAAAATAAGAAAGGAGGCAACTGGACTTTTTTGGGTTCGCAAAGGTGTTTCGCCTCTCACCCAAGAGGCTTCTTCACGTTTTGCAGGAGGTTTCTTCCTGGTAAGAATGGAGGTTTTCCTTCCCACTGTCGCCAAGTGCTTACTAGGCGGTCATCTGTCTCTTGGGGTCTTTAAAGCCCCTTGAGGCGACTGTTATTGTGAATTGGCGCTATATGAATAAAACGGAACTGAATTAAAAACAAATTGTGGAGTCCCATCATCCGTATTCTTCAGTCCTGTCATCTTTGTCAAAGTAGCTTCATTTCCTGTAATGACTGACCCTCTCCCAGGACCCAAAATCATCCCGGAACTCCATTTAACTGAACAAGCTAATCATCCCAGCTTTTTTAAGAAACCCCAAGCTCAGTTTCAGGGAGTTCGTGAACCCGACCTCCAGTCTACATATGTAGGCCTACTGATGTGTACCCACGTGCGTGAAAGGAGCATACTACTAATAATGACACACACACTCGGAGGTTGGCGCAAATCGTGGCTCACATAGAGACGTCGTTTTTCCCAAACTTTATCTGTATTTATTAAAGATTACTTTGTTATGGTTAGGATATTGAAAATAAAATCAAGTTCACTTTGTTACAAGCAGAGGGTGGTTTGGGTTAAAATAAATATCCTTTTAAAGCTCCGTTTTACACGGTTGCTATGGTGACGAGTCCCGTAATACTGTGTTGGGAGGAGACACGAAATTTAAACACTTAACACTTAAACACCTTAAAATGTGATATTTTGCGTCAGAATAAAGTTTATTTTACTGTGATTAGATTTGGTCACGGCCGGCTCTCGTACCGTGACTATATCTCAAACTCAGGAGAGACAAAAATGATGCGAAACTTTATGCTGATTTCATGTTTGCTAACAAGATTATAGAAAAGCTCAAGTTAGCTCTTATATTATAATCTTGTCGTAGCCTACGTCTCCTTTTTTGCTTTATCCGCATAAGATTTAAAGATTTTTATCTTCTGTTTTTGTCTTTTGTCTGAAAAAACGACTGAGCGTCCATCAGCTGGCACATGTTTTGAGCTACAGCTACTCCTTCACCACATCCATATCTGTGTGCTTCCTCGTTTCCTCCTGCCTGACAGCTCCACATATTCAGCATCCTTTGTCCAATATTTCTCTTTATAAATCGGGAGACAGACATAGTTTTAATAATTATAGACCAGTATCATTGCTATCACAGTTTTCTAAAGTGCTTGAAAACCTCTTTGCACAAAGATTTGATAGTTTCATTGAAAAACATCAACTGCTAAGCGAAAGTCAGTACGGATTTCGACGGAACAGATCAACAGCAATAGCATTAAAGCAGGATTGAAGACATTTCATCAGCAACACATCATAATAAATATACTATAGGGGTATTCATTGATTTAAGAAAAGCTTTTGACACTCTGCAACACTCCATCTTGATTTCTAAGTTAAGAACTTATGGTGTGAGAGGAATAGTATTGAACTGGTTAAGCAGCTATTTAGATAATAGGTTTCAGTATGTGCAGTGTTTAGGCGATTCATCTGATAGAATGAAAATAGAATGTGGGGTCCCTCAAGGTTCTGTTTTAGGACCAAAACTTTTTAATTTATATATAAATGACATTTGCGATGTGTCAAAAATGTTAAATTTTGTTTTGTTTGCAGACGATACAAATTGTTATTGTTCCAGAGAGAACTTGAAAGAATTGGCTAAAATTATGGTTATTGAAATGAAAAAAATTAAAAAATGGTTTGATGTAAATGAGTTATCACTGAATTTGGAAAAAACAAAGTTTATGATATTCGGAAACTGTGTAAAGGAGGAAGAGATAGTATTATCTATAGAGGGAGTATTAATTGAAAGAGTGACAGAATTCCGTTTTCTGGGTGTAATAGTGGATGACAAGTTAACATGGAAATCACATATTGAACATGTTAAAAAAAAGTTGGCTAAAAGTATTTATATCCTGGGTAATGTTAGATATATATTAGATTACAAGACAATGAGAATATTATATTTTTCATTGTTTCTACCCTATCTGAGTTATTGTGTTGAAGTATGGGGGAATACATACGTGACTAATATGAAACCATTATACTTATTACAGAAGAGAGCGCTTCGAATTATGCATAATGTTAAATATAGAGAACACACTAATAATTTGTTTATAAAATCGAAATTGTTAAAACTAGGAGACATAGTGAAATTACAGACTTTAACTATTATGTTTAGGGCGAAAAATAAAACACTACCTCTTAAGTTACAAAGTTTATTTGTATTGTGTTCAGAAAATGGGGACATTATAGGAGGTTTTATTTTAAGCACCGGTTTGCTCGAACCACACAAAGGCAAATGTGTCCAACAGTCATAGGCATAAGAAACTGGAATTCTCTCAGTGATCATCTTAAGTGTTGTATAAATGTTTCTCAATTTAAAATCTGCTACAAGAATAAAATGATAAACCGATATGAAGAAGTTGAAAAGAATAGAATTTAATTGCAGAAAAATGATCCTTTTAGTTTGATTTTTAGTGGTATTGCTCATTGTTGAGTATATTGTTCTGTTTGCTTTGTTTTGTTTTATTATGTGCAGAAAATTGTCATAGTGTAATTTTGGTTGCCTACTTGTATTATCACAGATAGGGGGCAGGTATCAATAAGAATTTATTCTTCTTCCTGCTCCTTTTCATGCATGGAAACAGTGTTACTTTAATTGAAAGGAAGGTTGTGTATGGGAATGCATTACTGCTGTACCATGTGCGAAACAAAAAAATAAAATAAAATAAAATAAAAATATCCACTATTCTTCTGCACATCCACAAACCATCTCAGCCTTAGCTCTTTGACTTTGTCTCCAGACTGCTCGACCTGAGCCGTCCCTCTGATGTACTCCTTTCTAGTCCTGTCACTCCCAGTGAAAAGCTTAAAATCTTCATCTCTGCATCCTGTCTTTGTCAGTGCTACAATCTTCAAACCAGACATCATAGCAGTTCTCTCGTTCACATTGCAAACCCTTCCTTCTGTAACAAATCAACCCTGACACTCGATGTTCCTCTGCTCTCCAGAACATACCTCCACCTCTCCAAGCTCTCTTCCACCTGCTCCCTACTCTCACTACAGATCACAAACACATTTCACAGAAACTACCATCAACCTGTCATCAGCATCAACCTAATCCCTGATGCAGGCCTTGTCAGGCCTGATAGGCGAGCAAAACTAGTGAACTCAAAAGCAAAACCAAGAGAGATCGTCCTAAACTTTTTTCATAAAGACTTATTTCACACAAAAAGGAATTCAGACAATAGAAGACTTGTCTAGAACTCTGGGGAAATGCACAGGTCTGATGAGGCACAGCCAGGTGGTCCTACTGGCTGAGGAGCGAGAAATCCAGAACTCCGCCCCAGGAGGGGCGCATGAACCGGATCTTGACAACCCTAACCTTGAACTCATCTGTCACTCCTACTGCATACCTCATACATGCCCTTATACGTAGATTATGAGGAACAACTTTGAAAGAAAATACAAAAAACCAAAACAAAACCCAACCATCCCCCCAATAATTGTACTCAGTCTGTTTGTAAATATAGTAAACATCTAAGTTGAATTAAAAAGAATATTCTATATTTAAAAGAAGACAAAGCATTTCACGTTATTTTAACCCCCACCCCTTCCTTTTATCACAGCAGCTAACTCGTTTCTAAAATTAGATTTTTTATCTTTTTTTAGTACATGTTTTTGTCACCGGTCAATTTTGTTGTTCTTTCCAAACCAATGCGCTTGAATGCGCGACATGTCTCGAGGGTCTTCCTTTCCGAGCTTAAATGTTTGAACACGAATGCAGCACTTACCTACATAAAAGGCCTGATTTGGTACAGGCCAGTGATGCCAAAAGTTATATTTGACGTTTCAGAGTTTTTGACAGTATCCCACTGGTTTGTTATACTCGATAAATAATAAATCAATGTGAAATTGTGTGTTTTTGTGTTTTAACAAGACACAATTCAGGATGGAACGAATATACCAAGTTATACACTGCCCCTGTTACATTCCGATAATGGACTGGCCCGTGGTTAGGCCTTTGCAGTGGGGAGTTGTTTGACGGACCCCGCAAGTTTTTCTATACTTTACCTGTTATTTTTGTTTGTCTAAAGAAGGGCAAATACTCAGCTTTTGGCATCACTTGCTTCGTTATTCATTTGGTTTGTCGACGGACCGTAAAGATTAACAGTTTAGGGCGTGGTACCGGGCCAAAGTAGGAAGCAAGGTAGATAGGAAGGACGATATCGTTGAGTCGGACTGTCCACGGCTGAGCTTATGATGCCGACGTTGCGGGATAGCACCATGTCCCACCCCGGCGAGAATTCCCACCAAGTCCGGGTGAAAGCTTACTACAAAGGGTAAGAAATAACCATGTATTTTAGTATT